GGGGGGCATGTCGTCAGGTGATAAACATGACGAGGTAAGGTGAAATCGTCTGATTATCGACATACTCTGACGAAAAATATATAGTTTCATATACATATTCTTGATTAATTACCCTCGTTTATCTATGAACGATCATTAACTTAAGCGTTGGAGGGCCGTTGGGTAAAAGCCAACGGCAAGACTCTGACAACATGTCTGTTTGCAGGATATCGACGGAATGAGAGACAACCAGTATTGCACGCACAACGACAACTGCTAACGATAACTAGACACAATCCCCTCACTACGTCAGACAAAGGATGGTTGGGCATCTAACCAAGGGCCGACGTTAACAATTTCTTTTTCACACAGCAACCGTGGACAATGAACGAGACGATGTCCTAACATACAAAGCCTTACAACACGTCAAAACACAATTGACGAGGGGCTCACATCATACGAAGCCTTACAACACGTCAAAACACAATTGACGGGGGGCTTACAGAATTTAATGGGAGGGGTTAGGCTGCCCATGAGAATATTATGGATCACAGTCCCAACAGAGCCCATACACTACGTTTTGGCCAAAACCTACACACGTATATGACGACGCACGTGCAACCAAAACAACAGACAGATCATACATCACAAATGCTGACAACATCAAAGTCAAACAAACACAAAACAACAACAGTACACGTACAAGTGACATCATCATGTGGAACAACAACTACATCCAAAACTACAAAAATACGCAACAGAGGCATGACAACATTAGCTCCAAAACATAAGGAGACACTATGAACGACATGGATACAAATCATAAACACTCATATTGACAATATTGATAAAATTACAAACGAAACGTTATTCAAAGTTTTTGCAGGTTATGGACTATGTTCACACAACACAACTTGTAATCTTTAACGACAGATGATGTCCCCTTTTCCAACTGGAGTGTCAACATCAACATGAGAGATGATGCAAATTTCCGTCATCTATTCGTCAGCACAACTTTGAACGGAAAAGGACAAAATTCTAGTTCGCAGACTTCATTGTTTCTTTCAAGGAGACGGATCTGATCGGAGGTTAGATGGAAACATTTCGTCAAAAAGTTGATCAACATGTCACGATGCGATAAGTCAAGGTGCGAAGAGTACTTTCAAATTTTCGACAAGTTGTTGTTGAATATATAGACATGTGTATCATTCACCTCAACTTCTCGAAAAGGGGGCAATTGTTGGTACACGAGTTTGACAGCTTGGACTACATTAAAAAAGGCTTGACCATTGCAATTAATGACGCATTTAGTGGGATTAATGATAGCTGATTAATATGAGCGGTTTTATGTATATAATTAGAGTAATTATTGTATTTAAGGCGTGGGTTATTAATTAAAGGGCTGACCAGAATTGATGATGCCATAATGACGATTTTGATGTGGTCGTAACGGTCGGAACATGTCGTCGTAACGGTCGGAACATGTCGTCAACGGAAAAAGTGCATTAAATGCCTCTCATATAAATAGTTACAGGCTCTATGTAATCAGGAGACACTCAGTTACGAATATACACAAAAGAGTTTTCCTATTCTCTCTATTGAAGTTCATAGCTATTCATATTATATTCAAATTATTGATTATAGATAAATCTATTTATTTTATCTTGTCAATCATACTTATTCGATCTTATTTGCTTGATTCCCAATCCAATTTCATATATATTTTAGATTAGTTTCTTTTGGCATAAACACGATAGATGAGAATGTGACCTATTATAGGTAGTGACTATTGATAGAGTATGTGGCATGAGACACACTCTTGGACACACAACAACTCAAGCCCATCACAGTACCAGGGGCCTATCAACCAAGTCCAGATCAGAATGAGGAAATACATCTACCGTCTGTACTCCTCACTTCGGACATCACCTTGGTCAAAGATCCCAGACAGATCACTCATGAGCAAGGACAACAATGACACGCGTCACACTCTGCCACGACTCAGGGCACTCGCCCATAGAATAACCAACACGTGTAGTGCATTTAATACACCGCCTCATTAATTAATTACTAGTATAAATACCCCTCTTGGGAAGTGGGAAGAGTTGTAAAGGGTCCGACTCCGATAATATCAAGCTCTTTGTCTCCCCAACTCATAGCTCTTCCGTCTCTCTATAATACCGTTAGTGATTTATCGGGAAGCTATCAAGTATAACCTACTCCGTATATTAGTAGCATTTAGTTACTAGCTACGTAGGATAACTATGTTCAATTTTTACACCATAGTGATCATGATATTACACTCATAATGATTTTAGTCTCATTTTTATTTATGAGCTTAATTTGAATAATACTTTAGGAAAAATATAAAAAAATATTACTCCATATTTGCTAAAAGAGAAGAGAAATTATGCTTAGATTAAGAGCTCGTTCGGTGGTCCCGGTTTTCGGCTTATCAACCTTAGCAGTCAATTTTTTCACCAAATGCGTAACTTTTAATTTCATGCGCTAAATTGTGTAATAATAAAAGAACAACTTTCATTCTATTTTTCTAGCTTCATTGATTGAAATTACTGTAGAGGACAATTTTAGTTATTTTACATATAAATTTCTTTATTTTGTTAATAAAATGTATTTTCAAATTTATTTTTTTCATAATTCAACAGATTCAGCCAATTCAACTTCTTTAGCCATAACTTTATCAACTTTAGTAGAATCAATTGAATCAATCAATTTTAGTGTTATCAAATAGGCTCTAAATATACCATGTTATTTATCAACTTACAGCCCATTAATTCCGGTTTTATTCTGGACTTGCATTAGGAAAAATACACACCATGCATACATACTATTTTCACCTTATTCAGTGTTGGGATGTTTCTAATTAGACTGAAAATTTTCAATTTAGTCTAGTCCTGACGTGGTCTAAACTGGTCTGATAGATGTCTGGTGTTTGGGTATTTTATAATTGTCTAGTAAATGTCTGATTTGATGTATTCTAATCTTTTTAAATTTGATTTAGCCTTGTCTAGCATGAGATCAAAATAAGTTCAAATGAAAAATCATTGGTGTCATTATTATGTGTAATAAGATTGGTGATATGTGTTAATCTTTTTACTGCACATTTCCACCATAGACTCATACCTTTGGTACGTGAATGAGTTTAATTTTTTTTAACGAAAAAATCATTGTTTTTAATTGTTTTATTCTTTTAAATGCTTGATTTTTTTTAAATGAAATGCTTGAGCTATTAAAAATTAGAAAATTGCCTATATAAGAGCAAACATTTTACAAATTAAAGTGCACATAAATAATCCTACCTATACAAATATTTAGGCCAAATTACCAGATTGGTAAAAAAAGAGGGTCATTTGACAGATTGATAAAAAAACCACTTGAGACATATTGGTAAAAAAAGCCCTAGTGACAAGTTGGTCAATTTTTTGTGAGTGATAAGCTTTTGATCCTCGATTGTAGAATTTCCGACATATCATATTTTAAGTATTGTGAAATTGACACTTTTCAACTTTTTTACTTTGATTTTTTCATCAAAAGTGGATGTCTAAAAATCTTAATAACCGTGTTTGATAATAGCAATTGTCTGCGAGCTAATAGCCGGTTGAATCAACATATTGATAATAGTGGATTCCATTAGCTTTATAACTAACCGCTTTCTTTAGTGTTTGAAACAAAACGTTAGTAACTTAACTGTTTGCGATTAAATGTTAAGATGTAAAATAACCATTACAGATATGAATTTAAAAGAATATATATATTTATATTAAATTTATTTCTTTTATTTAATAAGTCTTTTAAAATGTTTTAAAAATTATATTCACATTTATTTTAAATAACTAACCATGGAGTAGATTTTCAAAAAAACTAATAAATAGTCATATGGAGTAGAATTCTGGAGTAGATTTTTTAAGTTGAGTAGATTTAAAAATAATAATAATAATAATAATAAAAAGTCATATTTAAAATATTAATACTAAACATATGATTTATTAAAAAAAAAAAGAAATAAAATTAATTTAAATATATAAAAGTTTAAATTCATTTTTTAACGGTTATTTTACGTCTCAAAAGCTAATTGCAAATTTTAAGTTACTAACATTTTATTTCAAACCGCTAATGAAAGCGGTTTGTTAAAAAAGCTAATAACGGAATCCGCTAATATCAATCTGCTGATTCAACCGACATGAGCTAGTAGACAACTGCTATTATCAAACACGGTCTGACCGTTCACATTTTTAGACCTCCACTTTTGATGACAAAATCAAAGTAAAAGAACTACAAATGTCAATTTTACAATACTTAGAATATGAAATATCGGGATTTCTAATGTCGATGATCAAAAGTTTATCACTCACAAAAAATTGATTAATTTGTGACTAGGTTTTTTTACCTATGTCTCAAATTGTTTTTTTTACCAATCTGTCAAACATGTTTTTTTTTTTATCAATTTGGTAATTTGGCCCGAATATTTAGCAGGAATAACTTGCTATTCTAAGGGCACCTTCAATTTCATGTCAGGTCTCCAATCATCGGAACAGATGGAACCAAGGAAGCAGGGTGTGAAGCATTTGCCTTATGCCAGCCCACTACAAGAATTTTCGGAGTTTAGTGTCTGAAAATCCGACACTAAATCCGTCACTAACGTCATTAGTGTCGGATATTAGTGGCGGATGTTCCGACACTAAAACCTGGACACAAAATGGATTAGTGTCGGATAAATTGGGCGGAAGCAAAGTAGCGGCGGAAGTTTGTGTCTGCAATTCCGCCATTACAATTAGTGTCTGATATTCCGCCACAAAAATCCGTCAGTGATATATATTTTAAAATAATAATTTTGTTTTTTAAATATGCTTTAAAAATATAAAACGAAATATTAATTTAAAATTCCTATTTAGCATTACCAAATAACGTACATCCCCCCATAATTTTGAACAATGTTTTTTTAAATATATAAATTATTTTTTAATAACATATGTACTTTTAATAATATAAACAAAATAATCTTGCAAGATTTATATTCCAAAAAATGTAGATCTAAATTCTCAATGCAAATCACAAAACATCTAATAGACTTTCAACACATAATATTTTATGTATTGATCAAAAGCTTGCTAATAAATAAACATTCATCATTCATCATTCATCAATCCATAGTGAAATGCAACATTAAAAAAACACATTAATATCAAACTTAACACAAATCTAATGAGAGAGTTATTCATCAAGAGAGTCCATGGAGTCTTTAGAGGATTCTGATGTGGCAAAGAAACTTGGTGCATCGATCCCCATTGATTTCAAAAATGGCAGCCACGTTTGTTCAAAGTTCTTGGGCTGTGAGTCGGGTTCCTTGTCTTGAATAATGTCATCCACAATTGGCATTTCAGGGGGGAGTTGATCACCTTCTGAAATTAAGAACTCCCTCATGCGTGCATCCCAAAAAACACAAAAATCATGCAACCGACGAGCTCTTGATGAAGACGAGTGTTCTGCATTACAAACACTTACTCGATGAAGGAAAGCCTTTGAATAACTGCCCGTTCCAAGAACTCTTTTCTTGTTGCACCCAACGATTTCCAAGTATCTTGAAGATAACTTAGCTGAAGAGATATTAGGTGTTGTAGAGCTTTCCTCTTGACTTGAAGGTTCAGATTGTTGTGGGCTATCATCTTGACAAACATCGTACAATTTACTCAAAGCCTCCTATACATATAAAAACTAACAAACATAAGTACACCTACAAATAAATTTAACAATAGAAGCTACCATATGCCACATTCTATTTTAGCCATAGCTACCAATAGAAGCTACAAATATTACAGAGTTTTGCCACATTTTGTAGACCTACAAAATATCAAAGCCACATTGATATTTTGGAACCACAAAATAAGTAAACCTGCAAAAAACAAACAACAAAAGTTCTGTGCAGGGTATTTTTTTACAACAAAACTTCTATATGTTACACTTGTTATGTGACTATATAGCGATCCAGGGAGTTCCAAAACTGTCAAACACAAAAATAGCATATATAGAAATCACTTCTTTGGCTTGCTGGATGCAAATTGTACTTAAGAATTCTGTCAAACACAAAATTCATTCACCAATGAATCAAAACAGATTAAAAGTGTAAAACACTAAATGAAATCAGTTTCATACTTTCCTCAGGCAAAAGCTTATACACACAAACTGTCAAATTTACTTAAAACAATTGAAATCACTAAAAAAGGGAAAAGTTAATATCATTAATCCCACCTATTAGTTTGAAAGCACTAAAACAGTCAAAAGTTCATAATTGCCATCCGTCTTTCCATCCCAGATGGCCTGGTCTCCATGAACTGTTGGTCGAATAGCATTCAATTTTTTGTTATCATTCATGATAAACAATGTCAAATTTGAGTTTGGATTGACCAAGTTAACTTTTTCAAATCTGAAAGTCAAAGAAAGATGTTAAAATTTGATGAGCTACTTTCATTCAAATAAACTAATCCATTTGAATTATGTGGCTCCCCATGTGCCTCCCATACATAATAATCTTCCACAAAACCCTTTTCAAATAAATGTTGCTTAACAATATCCCATGTCATCCACTTTTTGTTCTTGCACTTTCTACAAGGACATGCAATAACACCATTTGGATATAAGTTTACCGCACTTTGGATAAATCCGGCAACTCCTTCCTTAAAATCTTCATTTAGAACTCCACGTCTTGCAAGCCTTTTATACATCCATGATCTATCCTGGCTCATTGTAAAACCTATACAAGATATAATATTCCACAATATTATTGATTCATATCACTAAATACTTTTTTTGAACGGAATATCAATAAATATTCATAAGCACTATTTAAAATGTAATTATTGTTTTTAAACCGTAAATGAAACATCAACCTTTTTTGTTTATATTTCTTAACTAATAACAAATTAAAATTCATGTATATATTTATCATTTAAATTACTCAAACTAGGGCCCACAATCTCTATATTTTAAAACACCAACAAACTATTATACATACCCATTCACGTGTTGAACATATACTTAAAAAAGAAATATTTGTTACACACTCTTCACATTAACCTAACATTAAAAATTCATCATATTTCATGTAAATATAAAACATGAATTAACAACTAAAGTAATATCAATTTTTTACTATCACTAATGAAATGGGCCGGTTGCCAAAAAAAATGAAATGGGCCATTTTTTCCAAACATTATCTAAATCTACCAAAAGGACTATTAATCTTTAAATTAGTTTATATAATTAATTATTCAACAACATGATATGACAAATTCTAAAAGATGGACTAATAAAGAAAACTTATTTAAAACATGGACCTCTAAGAACTCAATATAATTTGAATATTTAACAAAAAAAACAGGATGCCATATATTTAGTTGAAATATTTAAGGATAACATTATATATAACTAATTAATTAATATAAGAAAATTAGAAATAGTAAAATTGAGGGTTCTAACCTTACATCCCGTCTAGATCCATATTTTAGAGAGATGAAGATAAGATGTGGGTGTATGGAATGATGTGTCACTCGTTTGTGGTGTATATGTACTTCTAATTTTATGACAGATTTTAGTGGCGGAAAATCCGTCACTAATATCTGACACTAATTAGTGGCTGAAAAATTCCGACACACAATCCGCTACAACTTAGTAGCGACCAATGTCCGCCGCAAATTACTGGCCGATAGAATTCTGCCATTAAGTTCCGACACTAATTGTTGTCGGATTTAAAGACCGACACTAAAATCCGACACTAATTTCCGAAATTCTTGTAGTGGCCTCAATGAAATGAACAGATATGAATACCTTGAAAGCCGTGGCACGATCAAAACTGCCCTTCTGAGTCTATGCTTGCAACTTGAGCCGTGGCACCTTATTCTCATTTCTCAGGCCTCAGCCCGAAGCTTTCCGTCCCTTTTTGAGTTGAAGCTAATAACTTCTTATAAGTGTAAAGGCCCCTCATTCAAAACCCAAGGCGGTAGAACGATCATCCCACTTTGATCTGTGGAAGAGCCACCAAGTAGAAAGACCTCGTTTTTTGACCTCGTTTTTTGTGACGTGGATGATTTTTTGAGATCGATTGAAAAGATGGGATTATTAAAAGAGAATATTATGAAAAAAACATGGTATCAAATTTTTAAATCTCAATTATTCAAAATTATCGTAAAACTTTTATTTTCTTTCTCCTATTTTTAGATACATACGTAGTACTATGTACTCGTAGTTCGGTAAATTTAATTGCGGAGTGCTCATGTTCTCCAAGATAACTAATCTTTTAAAGATCGAAAACCTGTAAATCTTTTGAAAATGGGGAAATTTCTCTAAATATGATTAAAACGTTTGTGTATTTTCAAATAGAATTATTATGTTTTTATTCTCTAAATAGAAGTAATTATTGCAATGTTTTGGCAGTACCAGACTATAAACATGGTATTATTTTCTAAACTTGGCAGTAATTACTTCTATTTAGAGAATAAAAACATAGTAGTCATATTTTGTAACTTTCAAACGTTTTACTCCTATTTCTGAAATTTTTTCCTAAAAATTCTGCAACTGCAAACTATTGGAATGACCGCTAAAAATATACTTCGTTTATATTGTTATAATACAAAAATATACTACGTATAATATTAACGTGAGTGTATATATATTGGGTCATTCTAGGTGTACACAAAATGTGTACATTCCCTGTGTACACAGGCAATTAGAGGGGATTGGCATCAAATCTTGTCCCTTTTAAAACAAATTGTCTGTGTATACAGACAACTAGGGGGGTTTGTGTACACTTTGGGCGTGTAACACCCCGATTTTTATGAGCTAGACATATTAATCATTATTATTTAAGTTAGTTATATTAGTTTATTTTATGATAAATGTGATTTATTGTTTTATCATGTTTTTGTTTGTGGCAGATAACATTGACCGATAAGCTCGAAGACTAAAAAAAAGAATGAAGAAGTAAATAACATGCTCAAGTTATCATTTTATTTTTATTGGGAAAATACTTTTTCAATCGGGTCAAAATTCTATTTGAAGAACAATTAGAAGCATTTTTTTTAGCATACTAAGACACTCAAATCAGTTATCTTGACCCGAATGAGTATTTTAACTTAAAGCCCTAAAAAGGAGTAGTATATTACACATATCATCACAGCCGTAAAAGCGTTTTTTTTTTCAACCACAGTAGCCGCACATCTCTTAATTTCTTCTTCTCGAAAGTCGAAGTTCTTCTCCTATTTCAATTGGATTATCTTCTTTAACCATGGATAGTTTATTTTCCTTTGATAGTACTGATTTCATGTATTAATCTTTATAGGCTATCTCTACTACTCTTTATTTTGCCTTTTCTTTATAATTCTTCCGAGTGATTAGCCTATTGAGAGATCTTATCAGGCGGTGTTAACTGAATTGGGTTTAGAGAGATTTAAGTTAACACTACTTGTTCTTGGTGTTAATTTGAAGCTTTGGAAATTACAGTTTAGGGGCAAACTAGCTAGTTTTGTTGTGGCTGTTGTTAAAACTCGGGTGACTGATTTCTATTTTAATATACCTATATGGTTTTTGTGAGTTGCTCAACATTCTGTTTAAACACAAAAGTGTAAACTCGAATTTTGCATCGGTCTCTGGGGTCATAGTTTAGACAAAGTCTGAAATCTGAATAGAGTTTCTTAAAAATACTCTGAGTTTAGCTTGCCCCATTGCGAAATTTCCCTTTTGTGAGCTCATTGACGTGTTTTGTTGAAAGAATTTTTACCTTCTAATTAAAGCTCATGTTTTATACAAAGGAATTTCAAGTTTTTTAGTAACGGACTAATGGTTCAGAAGTCTTATTTCAATTAGTTCGTTGTTTTCTTAAGTTGGGTAGCTTTATTAATTAGTAGGATTTCAAATCCTAATTAGAGTATTGCATTTAATTAAAGATTAAAGATTTAAGAGAAGAGCTTACCGGAAGACGTTATCAAGGTGCCATACTTATTTGAGTATTTCGAGTTCAGTTGTAAACATGTAAGTTCACTACCACCTGTACATGTTTGTTCAACCAAATAAAAGAAAGAAGTCTGGTTGATTTTTAATAGATGATTTTAGTGTATTTGCTATTATGTGAACTTGGTGAATTATTTGATGAGTTATTTTATTTGTTGTATTAAGTATGTTTAGTATCTGGTATAGACAAGATTTTGTTAGTACTTTTATTTTCAGACTTAATGATGTTTTATCTAAACGTCACCATGAAAAGAAAAGAACTAATATTTAAAGTGAAAGACTAAGTGATATGTACTCGGGAACAGGTTCCCACAGAGTTACAGAGTTACAGAGTTATCACTTTCAGAGAGTCTGATATGTTTAGTGGGTCGCTCCCCTGAGCTGTCGGATTGGCGCCTTTGAGTACATATCACGGGCCCACAGAGTAAAAGTAGCCACAAAGAGTTTTACAGAAAGCTGTTTTTGAGATCTCTTTCAGAAAGTTTTACAGAAAGTTTAATGAGATCTCTTTCAGAAAGTTATACAGAAAGTTTAATGAGATCTCTTTCAGAAAGTTTTACTGAAAGTTGTTTTTGAGATCTCTTTCAGAAAGTTTTACAGAGATGTTTTGAGAAAGAAATTTTGAGATCTCTCCAGCAGTTCTGAGAAATTATTTTAGAAACTATTTTCTTTTTGAGATCTCCCTCAGAATGAATTTGAGAAGTTATGTGTTCAGTGCATGCTGATAGCCTAAATTTATCTATTGATAAATTGACATAGACTTCTAGATATTTTTGTGGATCCATAGTGACTTACCAAGCGTAAAGCTTATCAGTTTCCTTTCTTCGCATGTAAGACCAAGACCTAGGAAGATGATGAGGGAGTAGAACGCGTGCCAAAATGAGTTAACGGGAACGACATTGGCAACTTCTAGCTAGTTATTATTGTATTTATGTATAGTTTGAATAAATTCCTGGATCCAGGTGGTTATCACATTTTCCGGTGATAACTATATTTTATTAAGTTTTAATTGGAGTTGTTTTAGTTACTTTTGAGATTTTATCAGAGTTATTTTCTTAAATAGACGGCCGTTATATTGCAGTTATTTTTAAAAGTAGTATGTTAGTGTAACGTTTCTTTAACCCTGAGAGGGGCGTTTCAGGGCGTGTTTGGCATTCAGCGGATAGCGGTTAGCAGATAGCGGGTTGTCAAAAGCGGATTCGGTCAGCGGGTTAATTTGACTAGCGGAATAAATTGACGGGTTGTCAAAAAGAAGTTTGGTAATTTAGTTGTTTGACCATAAAATTAGTAGAAAATGCCATTTTCAAAACGTCATTTTCAAAACGCCAACCCAAAATTCTCATATTAGCAGCGTTTTCATTTTGGCGTTTTCGTCTAAAAACGGTGGTGCCGAAGAGCTATTTACCAAATAGCTTTTTCACTTGTTGAAAACGCTAAAATTAATCAAACCGCCATTTTTTGGCTGAAACGCCATTTACCTAACACCCCCTTTATGTACAACTCATGTACATAGTACACTAAGAATTTTTCATATATATTGTAGTAGTGGGTATCTATTTTTGACTTCTTCCGATGGTCCGGTCCTCCACTCCTTGCATTCCATTTGGTTATCCTCCACTCCAGTACATACGTATATACGTATGTACTCGATTTCTCACTTCCACTATAATTGTCTCATTTTACATTTTTTCATCCGTCTTAATAAATTTATGCCATACTATATTTAATAATATTTTTGTACCTCTAATTCATTCTTACTTTATGTTCACTTTCCCAATTAAGTAAAGAATTTGTTGTTCGAGTTAATTCTCTTTCCTTTGCACAAATCTCAATCACACACTTTTTACTTTATTTTTATTAATCATCGTGCCGGTCAAACTTGGCAAAGTTATTAGGGACGGAGGAGTATATGTATTGTTATTTGTGCATTTTCATACTACGGAATACTCCGTGTATTATTTTAGATTTACAATATGTACTCCCTCCGTAACAAAAAAATATTCCCACTTTCCTTTTTCGTCCGTAACAAAAAAATCTTCCGACTTCTAATTCTTCCCATCATACCTTCAATAATTCTGAAAATAATACACTATTACAACTACTTTTTTTTTAATTTATCCTACATTCCATCACATTATTCCACTATCTTCCCATCATACCCTCAATAATTCATATCATCTTTCACTATTCTTAATCTACCTACTTTTGAAATGGGAATGTTTTTAAGTTACGGAGGTAGTAGTAAGTAGGAAGTACTCCCTCCGTCCCGCAAAATCGTTCCCGATTTCCTTTTCAGGCCGTCCCCAAAAATAGTTCTCATTTCTCTTTTTGAAAAGTTTTGTGTGGCTCATTCATTTACCTTTTTTTATTCAACCACAACCATACATTTCTAATTTATATATTCTCACTTTCTTAAATTTCGATCCAAATCCCAATGACAATTATTTTATGGGACGGAGGCAGTATAATCTAGGATGTTTTCTTTTAGACTGAAATTTACTAGTCTGGTCTGGTCTGGTCAGGTGACTCAGGTCT